TTTTTTTTTTTCCTCTGGGTTGATGCGTGCGTTACGTAGTTTGGGTCTATACCCCAGGTTTATAATTGCGATCGAAGGAGATGGCTCAGGCCATCTGTTTTCCAAGTTGCGGTTAATAACGTTACCCTGGGTGCAAGTCATAAACAATTGAAGACAATCACCGCTCCTCGTTTCCAGTAAAACAACTGTAAAAGAGTAACTGTAAAAGAGTCTTATGGGCTGAATAAAACGCGATTTCGTCCCATCGTGCTGAACTAGACTATCCAACCAAAGTTATTCCTCACTGTAATTCTACTCATACATGTTGCGTAATGTAACAGTTCAATGGTTAAATAAATATACATGCACCAAGCAGATTTAACAGCAGTTATGGAGTCGAAATAAGGCCCCCATGTGCGTGTTTCTGAAAAATATCTAAGGAGGAGTACAACCCAGTTACAGACAGTGGGACAGGGCGAGGACTTCTTCGTACTAAATTTTTTATATGTATTAAAACTATATTTTTTTATCACAGGGAACTGAACAGGGCGAGGACTTCTTCGCACTAAATTTTTTATGTATTAAAACTATATTTTTATCACAGGGAACTCCACAAAGCGAAGACTTCTTCGCACTAAATTTTTTATATGTACTAAAACTGTTTTTTTTGTTTTTGTTTTTGTTTTTTTTTTCAGAGAACTGGACAGAGCGAAGACTTCTTCGCACTGAATTTTATATATGTAAAACAAATATTTTTTTATGATGGAGAACTGGACAGGGCAAAGACTTCTTCGCACTAAATTTTTCATATGTATTAAAACTTTATTTTTATCAGAGAGTACTGGACAGGGCGAAGTCTTCTTCGCACTAAATTTTTTGTATGTATAAAGTCATTTATACAACAAAATAAGCAGAAAAGAGATTTCTTTGCCCAATTTTTTTTTATCAGTAACAGAATGGAACAAATCTTTTTGGTAAGAAAATACAGAATAAAGTTTTACGCACAAATTTTTTTTTTAATATAGTACAGTATAAACTACTTTTTTAAAAATTTTGTAAATATATTAATTCCCGTTGCACAGTCTTGATTGCAGTCCCGGAGATCACTAGTCAGGAAAGCCAAGAGCGAAACTCTTAACCCTCCTCCGCTCTATTCTAACAGAAAAATAACACTGGCATTCAAACCAAGCACGATTTTGTTTTCTGACCGATTCTGAAACTCGCGAGGTAGTAGGAGACGAAAGTATGGGTTGTTGTAAACGTCTATACATGTATCGCATAGAAGTCCCATGTTACGAAACGTTCTTCGTCCATTTCGAAAATTAACGCATATGAGTATTATATGAGTCTCATGTGGGTTACCGATGAAGGACTGGACATCACGTTTTCATTCCGCCTCCAATCGGCTTAAAATTGGTTAGACGCGTCTCCGTTGAGATGTTGATTATGAATAATATTTGGCTTCCTTGAGAAAGGTAATTTTATACAAGTTTGAGACAACACAAACTGTAGTGCAGTCGAATCCCCACTAATGGCTACCTCTCTATAAAAGCCATTTTCTTTGTCCCGCGTAAGGTCCATACATTCACTCTTCAACGCCACCTCTCCACAACGGCAACGTTACAGTTTATTATTATATGGCTAGCTGGGCAAGATGAATCAAATCCTGCGCTGTGATTGGCTGCCCGAGCGGGCAAGATGGAGCTATCTTGCCCGCTCGGGACTACCCGCCGTATCCGGCAAGGAAAATTTCCCCGAAAGTCATATAATAAATCCTTTATTGACAGAGCTTGTTCGGTCAAGATGGCTGGATATTGGCCTCGTTCTTTTTTTGCGAGTTTCTGGACCTCGACTCCGTCTCGGTCCATAAACTCGCAAGAAAAGAACTTGGCGAATATCCAGCCATCTTGACCTCACACTTGGTCAATAACCCATATATAATGCCATTGACGTAGACCTTTATCGCTGTTAGAAATTTAAAGTCGATCAGTAAAATGTAGAAGATAATACCACGAAACTGTTTCGTCATCTTTCTTATTGCCTGGGTACTCGCGCGCTGTCGTGTTTCAAGATAAACTCGGAAACCCGTGAAAACCGGTTTTGAAAGACTGTACCTTGCCAAGTCAATGTTTCGATGTTTTGCAGAGTTCAATGATTATGTTCGATTGCCGAACCCAAATAGTCCGGCTATTTTTATATCACAGCCTGATGTTATACATGCGTTACAGTCAATCTATTTCTGTCGACGATTTTGGAGAGCTGTGACTCATTACACGTTGAGAAATGGTATTCGAGTTATCGAGGGTAGATTTGTAAAGAATTGACCTGAAGCGACAAAAACAAAATACTTCGAGCTAGCGAGAGGCTCGAGTCATCGAGGGTTCGATACGTGAGTTCCGAGTTACCGAGGGTTCGAGTTACCAGGCTCCTTTTCCCAAAGCGGAAATCTGTTGTCGTGGCCTGTGAGTCACCATGATGTCATCACCAGCCTATTTACATCGTCCTCGCGCCTCGCGGGCGGCTTTGCCCTTTTAAGGTCATTCCACTGAAATAGAACCTGCACTGAGATTTTTGTCAAACTTTGCGTATTGACTGTTTATATTGTAGGAACTTAAATTTGGAAATAAAAATGAGGGGTCCTCATGTTCGTTTAGGAGCAACAGCACCTTGTTTATACCCATATAAATCCTCATAATAGCACCATGATTATAGTCACGATTGCTTGCTAAAATCAGGTTTCCGACGATTGTTTCTTGCTCAACACTGAGAATTGACCCATATTTATTTTACATAGAGAAATTTATTACTCAATTCAACACAACAGAATAAATGATAGGTCACCGTACTCGTTTTCGAGAAAATGATGATTTACCTCTGGCGAGGTCCAGCCGCAAAGAAAAAGCCGCCATTTTTTAATGCGCGCGCGCTAATCACGCGTGAAAGTATGCGCAGTAGGGATGCGCAATGCAATAGTGGGGAATGACCTTAAATCATAATTGATACTCATGCTTCAGTTATCCATTCCGATAGCGAAAACTGAAATGGCCACGCGAGAAAATCTTGCCTAATTCATTTGTGGTTTTCCAACTGTTAGCTGCGCGAGCCACGATCTTCTATATCTCAAAATCTATGAATACCATCCTTTTCGCTTGAAAAATATTTATTTATTATTTTCCAGGTTGCAGTGAAGGAATGATTTCACTCCATCACTCCATCACTCCTTCACTCCTTCACTCCTTCACTCCTTCACTCCTTCACTCCTTCACTCCTTCACTGGGTCACTTCCCGTTAGACATGTGGAAACCCGGGGGTGAACTCCTATGTGAAAAGGCAGGGATGTTCGTCGGAAAATTGAGTGTTTCTTTTATTATTATTTAACATTCATGCAGAGTAAAATAAAAATCTGTAAGACAGTTTTTTCGCAAACTAAGAAAATGTGATATCAAAAATAGCTCAAAATCTGTCTAATAGATTTTCATCTTGCTTTGCATGAATGTTAAATCAGAGCCAATTTCTTATTCCTGAAATTTTGAGGTGGGGTCAAACGGGTAGATTTTGAGAAAAAACGTGATTTAACCTACTAGTGCCCAGTCTCTCCTTAGGTACTCGGTCGTTCATTTTGGCCATCCGTCGACGTTTAATTGTCCAAGTTTCACAAAGAATGGTAAAAGACTTAAGTAAACAGTAAATAGAGAAAGGAAATACATCTTGGAACATTTTTCGAAAGGGTTAGAAGTTGGGCTGTTTTAATCCATCAAAACTGTAGTAAGCCACCTTAAGAACAACAACAGAAAACCAATGGACTTATGGTGCTAGCTTGCTCTGCATGCACTTTGGGCCCCCACAGTGTGCTCAGTTACGTTCATTGACAATGGTTCCTTCAGAATATGAGCCCAATCATCTTTGTAACAGAGTATGTGAACAGGACCGCAAGAAAGTAAGCTCACCAAACAATCCTTTTGAACAAAAATAAACCCGGTATTCATCGAAATCTTGTAATATGTTTTTATCTGGCTCATATCAGTGTACGCTCTCGTATTTAAATCGCAACATTTCTTTGCAGATTTCGTTGGTTTACCTGATCAGTTTCCTCTTCGCTGTCGATGTGGCGAGTGGGAATAAGGCAAAGTGCAACCTCACCGCCCACATAGCAGTAAGTGAAATAAATTCAGCTTGCTTTGTCGTTTTTTCGTCATCTGAATTTCCCTTAGTTTCCAGTGCAAACGTTGTATATAGTAAGAACGAGTTCATTTGGTTTTTTTCAGGCACACGAAGACCATTGGGTTTATCCCAATTACAAGGATTATAAAGGTCAGTAACCGTTTCAACTTCAAGATTTAAACATAAGTTCTCTTCACTAATTCCCATACGTTGCTTTAAATATTCGCTCGGATAGTTTGCAGGTACATCAGTGACAACCTGAGATCAGGCGTTCTAATTTTTCACGGCGATGGGAGAAATGCGAAAAAAGAAAGTTTGATTGTAGGTTACTCGGTAATTTAAGACAAAAAATTCGTATTTAAGAGAGACACTACTCAATGCAATGCAATGTGTTACATGAAGCCTTGGCTGGAAAAGCAACCGTTTACCGGAAATCTTTTGCTATCGTAGGTGGAATCAACCAATTACGTTTTTCAAGCTTTTCTGCAGTCTACCCTGCGAGACAGAGATTCCGTTGTCTATTACAGAGCAGAAAGAGAAGGGAATCTGTGTGTCACAGGGTACTCGCAGGCTTCTATTCCACGCAAAACAGAACTGAACAATTTTATTTCAAAAGAACATGAAAATGTGTTTAATATCGCCGTTCGTTCGTATCGGCGTTCAGAGCATATGACCTTGCACCTCATTCTTTATGACAACTTATAATGGCAACTCTTTTTTCAGGCGAAGACGCTGAGCATCCTCCGAGGCCACGTGTTTCACCCTTCGCAACAGAAACAGAAAAAGAGATAAACAAACAGATCAACCGGGAGCTGTTTGCTCATTACACCTACATGTCTATGGTAAGCTTTTAAAAAGCATCTCATGTGTTTCAGGTATTTTTTACTTCGCTGACTTGTAGGTATTCTCAACATTCATATTGTTTTTCACTTGGTATCCAGGCCGTGCATTTCGACCGTGATGATATTAACCTCCCTGGGTTCCACAAATTCTTCAAGGAGTCCTCAGAGGAAGAGCTGAAGCATGCGCACTTGGTAAGTTTTTAACCGGTTCTGATTTCGTGTATTTCCGGTTCTC